CCCAACCTTTTTAAAAAAAAGAACTGCCCGAAATTGCAACTGCGAAACTAGGTGTGGATTGAAAGTGTATTTAAGAACTCTCTTGTTTAATTGTATTGTTTTGCTCTTCAAGAGTAGCGGAATGGAAAGACTTCAGTTTGTTGGTCTTGGAAGGCATCCAGATACTCTACAGGTTCTCTCAGAGTAAGCCTTTTCTGTTGTTCAAAAACTAGTAGCTTTAGCCTTTGAAAGCTTTTATATAAATTTTTTTATTCGAATCACTTTTTGGGTATCTCTACGTGACAAAAGATTGTCAAGTTTTTTCGCACCTGTTGGTTGCTGGTCGTTGTTTTGAAGAGGTTGATTTGGCTCAAGAAAAGGTTGTCCTTGAAATCAGGATTTGTACTATTTCACACTTTGACATTATTGTTTTCAGAAAACAGTGGAGAGCTTGACTCTTCCTGTTGATGATGCTAACGTTAAAGAAGTAAGTTCAGGGGTCATCCCGTCGCTGTATTCAATGTTCCCTACGAGCTATCTCAACGCTGCTGATGATATGTACGGAAGTCTCAAAATAAGTGTTCCAATTGGAAGTTGTTATCTTTTTCAGGGAGAAATTATTACATCTCGCTCGTGCTGAATTCTGCAGGTATTCGTATATTTTGCAACGAATGAAAAAATACTGTTTCCGAAGAAGACTGTTGAACTTGGTGCCGCAGATTTATTGGCCTGACTTCAAAACATCGGTAAAAGATTTTCTCTCTGCAGCTTCAATTCGTGAATAACCGACGACAATTTAATTTTTCTAGGTGGACATTTCTTGCACATTCTGCGGTTCAAGCAATGAAATCGCTGTGCGCAATGCTGAATCTGCAATGACCGATCTCACTCAAGTGAGGTCTCGCTCAACAGTGAGCAGAACGACTGCGAGCAGATCGTCAGCGTCGATTAGTGGAAACTCGATTGGTCCAGGAATATCCCTGTCGTTGTCATCTACAGCGCCATCTGATTCAGATACAAGTACGTGCACAGCAGTTACCGAGTCGCTGTCTTATGATTATAACGGAGTTGATGGCGGGACAGAAGCAGAGGTGAATTTGATACGATTTGACGAGATTCAAATTTCTTATGTATAAAATTCTATTTTTCCTTTGCGCAGTTCTTTGGAAATGTTGCGTAAAACA